GTGCACTCTGTCCTTTCTTTCCTTTTTTCTTCAATCATTTTACAATAATAATAACAAACATTTTAATTCTAACTTTATTTTGTATTTCAGCTTACTGGAGTGAGTAGAAATATTACCTTACAGTAAGAATGATTACTAATCAATAGAGGACATAACTCAAATTATGCATAATCCCTTTTTATAATTATTTTATGAAACTTCGTCTTAATCACAATTAGGTTAACTGTTGTCTAGTAGTTCTAAAGTTGCATGCTTGTATTTCAAAATAGATTTAAACCGATTCGTCAGTTCAAATAAAGAAAATAAAATCACAATCCATTACCTAATGTGAAAAATCGTAAACGCATCAAGACGCCACAAGCATATATCAATGTTTATTTTCAGCCTTGAAATCATTGAATGGCTTTTCCATACATGTAAACAGAGAGAATGAAACACCAGAACTATGTTATAAAGATAATATTGTGCGTTACACTACACCAGCAGTAAATAATATAGAGTGTAGTCAGGTTATAACTGGTCGTTATGTAAATATCAGTAATTTTCATATAAATAGAGATGCCAGATATTTAGTCTTATGTGAAGTGGAGATTGATGGTAAGATTTTATTCACTAGAATTTTCAACAGTTTAAACGATTCAGACATAACTTGACGACAAAAAAGAAATAATGTGCCCTTGGCAATGTATTAAATTCAAGATAATAGAATTATTCTGATTAAAAAAGGATTCACATGACTATTACGGGATTCAGCACGAGCTGAGGTTAAAGGCCTGTAATATCAGCATCACACGAATAAAATATTATTATAACTTTTAATATCAGTAGTATCTAACAAAATAAATATGTCATATCAATACCAAGTTAAATATTTTTATTATCAGTAATATCAATGCCATCGATTTATTATCACTTTACTTCAGTATGTTCTAACGGAACGTTTGGTTCAGATTGTAACAACTTCTGTCATTGTTTAAATTATGAAAGATGTTCAGAGAATGCTGAATGTCCTGGTGAATGTGCTGATGGATGGACAGGAACAACTTGTAATCAAAGTATTTTATATTTCTTTATTATGTGTCAATAAAAGTAACAACAAATGATATTATGTTCAATTTCTGTTTCAGAAAATCATCATCATGTTTTGTGTTCCTTGTAGAAAATCAGTATTTCATGCTGATGAGGGTTTTTTCTTTCATATTGCATGTTTCAGTTCAATTAAGGTATAAATAAACACATAAGTGTAAGAGGAGAATGTACTGATCGATGCCCAGAAAGTACTCATAATATCAATGTGTCGGTAAACATAAAATGCCCTGCACTATCTAAAATGGGAGGAAAAAACAGAATTCTTATTTCATACTAGTGCGCATAAATCATGTCCCATGTAATGCAACCTTACACCTTTGTCCATCTGGTAGTTAACATCTGTTATGATGTATGTTTTTTTAATAGAATGTGAAGATGATGATTATGGAGTGGGATGTAGTAAGAAATGTTCAGATAGAACAGATGTGACAGTAAAACAGGAGAATGTATTGATGGATGTCAACCAGGATACCAGTCAATAGATTGTACACAAGGTAAAATTTTGAACTAAGTTACAGTACTTGTTGCCAATTTGTATACAATCATGTTCGTGGTGATCACCTCACCTCCCTGCAGCAGTAGACTTCAGAATTCGGTTCTCTTTCCCTTAAAGTATATATTATGTTCTTTTATTTAACTGAATATATTTAATGACGATATATGAATTTGGAAAAGCTTCTTCTTAGTAAGCCCTCCTTAATATTATTGTTTAGTCGATCATTAGGTACAATTTCTATTCTTATCACTGGTCGATATTCATGTTTTTTTTAACCTCCTAAGTAAATCCGGTTACAAAGATAGATATTGAGTTATATTTGTTTAGT